TATCAAACCAAAGTTATTAATACGCAAGCTAAAGGTTTATCGGCTGTGCTAATTAGTTGAAAAATAAATGATCTCGTATTAAAACTTTTACAAGTTTACTATTTTGAACAATATTTATATTTTGTTTTTTGTAAATATTTCGTTTTTTCTAAATAAATAGCTTCCATTTTCATTTTGGCAGAACTTTTCATCACAGAACGTTATCGTCTTTCCACCCTTTCTCCTGATACATATATTGCGTCCTATACAATGTAGATGTACAGTACATGCATACGCACCAAATACATAGAAAAGGTTGAAAAGCTTTTTTCAAATTGTTTTTTCCATTTTTTTTTCAGTTCTGTTTTGTTATCTGGGTTAGTTTTTGATCTTAAGCCGTCAGAAGTGAATTATCATAGTAATATATTTTTCTTTTGAAATTGTTTATTTCAAGTGCTAGCTTCTGTCTTGTGTAACAGATGATAGAACATTAAAACACACGCACACGAATTCTTTGTTTAATACATGTGTATCTTAAATATAATATATGTTCATGAATCTACTAACCCACTCAAGTATTCATTCATTTTTTTTAATTTTCGTTTTTTACGTTCGTTCGTTCATTCGTTCAACCATCTATCTATCTATCCTCTCATTCATTCATTCATTCATCCATCCATCCATTCATCCGTCTATCCATTCATTAATTTCTTTTATTAAATTATCGTATACAGTTTCAAAATTGTTCGCAAATAACACAAATAACTAATAAGTACTAGTAAGTTAAAGATACATTTTAGAGTTATAAAACCAACAAAATTGGTAAAAATATGGAGAAATTTTTTTTACACGTAGTAGTAGCGGTAAGGCTTGCAATTATAATTAAACGTAATTATAACATATATGGCAATAAACAAAATTATTATGTTTAATAATGATAAGTAATTACTGATCGTTGATGGCACACGATTGCTTTGCTGATATTAAATGTTATCAGCTGGCAGAAGAAACGCTGTTAAGTTAAGTTGAGTTGAGGAGGCAAGCCGGTGTTGTTATAAGCTAAATGATAAAAGCTAAAAAGACTATTTAATTAAAAAAATTTGTGTGAGTGTATGTATGTGTGTGTGTGTATGTATGTATGTGTGTGTGTGTGTGTGTGTGTGTGTGTGTGTGTGTGTGTGTGTGTTGGCGTTTTTGTATGTGTATACAAGTGTCAGGTTGATAAACCATTACTGTATTCCAATGTAAATAAACTTTTAATAAACAAGTACACTGATTTTTTTCACCCAACTAAATTAAATTCATAGAGATAAGAAAAACCTGCTGTTGAAACATCTGTGCAATTATAAAATAATCATGCAACATGTTTCAATGCTATCTGCCACGCAATGCAACCAAGTAACTATTTGACAACACTAAAACTTATAACAACATCACTGACAACAACAACAACAATAACAACAACAACAACAACAATAATAACAACAACAACAGCAGCAGCAGCAATATTTACAACAACGTTAAAATAACGAGAAAAATACATGGTGTTAATTTAGCTGGCGTCAAACACTTCATTCTGATAGCCTGAGATAGCGAAATAAGCTGAAATGATGTGAAGAAATTTTTTTTTTTCTAATAATTTTTTTGGTTGGCTCTTAGTCAACTTTCACAAAAATTAAATCGCTAATTTAAATTGTATTTTCATTTAAATTTCATGTAAATTGTTGCGATAGTAATGTTATAAACGATTGTAAGTTAACAATATAAACCAGACCAAAATTACATTCGTGTTATTAGGTTGTTTTATATATAATTCCATAGTTGCGTCTTCACGCGCGCGCGTACGCACACACACACTTGTATAATGACTCATGTAGATACATATAGATAGATATAGATACGTGTAGATGTGTGCACTTGTAACTACAAAGGACTCATAAAATATGCTCACACACACGCGCACGCACTGCTCTTCATAAACAATTCTTCACAAGCCATTTCAAATATGTTAACTGGCATACGTACGTACAAACACACGCATATACATGAATGAATGAATGAATGAATGAGTGAGTGAGTGAGTGAGTGAGTGAGTGAGTGAGTGAGTGAGTGAATGAATGAATGAATGAATGAACAAACAAATGAACAAACGAATGAATAAACGAACGAAAAAACAGACAAACAAATATGAAAAGAGTTTTATAATTAGATGAATATAAAAAATTTCGCCCAAATATGAGCATATACAGCAGCCAGGCTTTGCACATCGACACGCAATTTCGCATAGTCCATCACAACCAAGCCGAACTGAACAATGCAACAATACCAAGCTATCAAATCTACATCTAAGAACTTAGCAACACAAAAACAAAAACCACAACACTAACAACAATAACAATAATAATAATAATAATAACCACTATAACAGAAATAACAGGTGCATAACATACCATTCAAACATATATACAGTCCAACGAAATGTGAAAATATTGAAGCAATGGATGAATGAATGAATGAATGAATGAATGAATGAATAAACGAATGAATGAATGAATGAATGAAATAATATAATTACTTAATTAAAACCTGCAACAATTTATATTATACCACAACCTTCGCCATATTTCTAATCAATTTTATACAATACAAAATTTCACACAATCGAAATACATATATAGCTATATAGTAATATAAATAATAATAACACGCAGTAATATAACACACACACACAAACAAGCACACACACACACACACACAAACAAACAAACACATACACACACACGCAAGTACTGTACTGTAATGTATATTCACTTACACTAAGCTTGCTCTATGTTAGGTTGACACCCATATTTTAAATAACAAGTATATTTCTTAAGAGCTGAGCTGAGCTATGTGCTTATGTAGATAACTATGTAGTAAACCCTGGATCACTCTCTCTCTCTCTCTCTCTCTCTCTCTCTCTCTCTCTCTCTTTGTCACTCTCTCTCTCTAATACACTTATGATGATCATAATAATAATAATAAAAAAAAGAAGAAAAAAAATAATAATTATATTAATATTTATAACAAAAACAAAATGCTGATGCGAAAAATCGTAATAGTGACTAAAATATTAATTAATTTTACTATTATTGCTATAATAATTATTATTATTGTTATTATTATTATTATTTTTTTATTATTCAGAATTTGTCGGTTGCTTATAATGTTATATAAGCCTAGTGTCATTATCTTCATCATCTTCATCATTCGCAGTGGCATCACTCACATGTACATCACTCACACCCGCGTCATTGTCGTGGTCTTCTTCACAGTCCTTATCTCTCTCTTATTATTTTCACCAGCGTAAACATTCCCTTGTATCATGCTCCTCATCTTCACCATTTTAGTCATCCTATCAAAAAATCAACATACACACACGCGCACACAGACACACACGCACACACACACCAGGCTAACATACACACTCACACGCACCGCACACACACTAACACACACGCACACAAGCATACACACACGCACGCACACACACACATTAATCATTTTATCACGTTCTGATGCGATTGAAAAAGTTATACTAGCAATAATAATTGTTATAGAACGTGGACAATAGAGTAAAGAAGGGAGCTATATTTTAATTCCCGTTATTCTATTTCAAATCTCTTAACTGTTGTTAATATTATTTTTTAGGTTTTTAAATCTTATTTATCTCTTCAAGAGGAATTTAAAAAAATGTGTTAATTGCGTGCTACCAGACCAAGGCCACCATTTTATCCAATTATTTATGTGCATGTTTTTTCATCTCTATGTGTGTGTGTGTGTGTGTGTGAGTGTGTGTGTGTGTGTCTTTGTATGTGCTTATATGCGTGTATATGTAGATGTTTGTGTGTACGTACGCGCGCGTGTGTATGTGTTTTTACCTTTCTCTATGTATGTTTTTTTATCTTAATTTGCTCAGTTGTATATATATATATATACATTCAAACAGTATCTTTATCATTGTATGTGTGACTTTGAATACGTATGTATCTTACGTGCGTGCGTGTGTGTGCGTGCGTGTGTGTGCGTGTTGTTTGTAAAAGTAAGCCTGAGTGCCTAAATGTTATAACTAGAGTTTTTGTAATAAGTAAAAATAACTTTATACATGATTGTTAGCTTACTCTGGCTTACATTGCTATCCATTCATTTGTCAGCTTCGCATGATGTTAATGTGATGTTGATATGTTGTTGTTGTTGAATCGTTTAAAATTTGTGATGGTATTTGTTAGTCGGTTGTTACCAACCATATTATTTACTAGTTGTTGATGTGATTTTGTTGATGCAATGTGTTGTTGCTAACGTGAAGTTGTTGTTATTATTGTTGTTGTTATAATTGTTGTTGTATGGCAGTTCTTAGATAAAAAGTTGCTACAACAGTGCATCATCATCATCAATCAGTTGATTACTTACGACTGATTACCCGATCGCTGTCTTAAGTTCATTCTCAGTTTTGATTCGTTGGAAATGGCTATTAATTTTCGCAGTAAAATTTGAAAAATGTAAAAGAATGAAGAGTATTATTACTTCTGCAACTTTATTAAAACTCGAAATCTCAAACTTTATTAACAAAGTCGAAGCATTAATTGAAAAATTGTGTTGGTTATTCCACGAAAGAATTTGAAATTTCTTAGTGAGAAAATTTTCGTATAGAACATTGCGTTGAATAGAAGAGCAGAAGAACATTGCATGTTGGCACGCTACATGATAACACGTGCTTCCGCCGATTGAATATGAATGTTTAAACACAATCTCACTCTCCGATAAATATTTAGAATTCTGGGCCCGGCGGTAACGTATATCTTCACAAACAAAAGATTAGCGCATTTCTACACGCTTCGATTTTACTCCGGCATATTTGCAGTGCGTACGCTGAAGAAATTGACACAGATAAGAGAAATGACGTCTTAATTATTATTTTATTTTGTATAGAACGTTATCCAAACTTGAACAGAAACCAAATAAACATTTAGGGATTGATATTGTTAGAGGAACGATAAATGTGAGAAATGCAGCGTGGCCACTAACTTGCTGGTCGAGTTTTTTCTCAATTTGGAGTTTTTCTTTTTTTTCGTTTTGCTGCTACCCTTATTGTTGCTGCTGCCATAGTTGTTGCGGTTGTTGATGCTATCAACGTAGATGTTATTGTTGCTGAAATAGTTGTTGTTTTTCTTGTTAACGAATTTGCTGCTGCCGCTGCTGTTCATGAAGTTGTCGTAGCTGCTGTCGTAGCTGCTGCTGTAGCTGCTGCTGTAGCTGCTGTAAGTCAACGCTGAAGATTGGTTGTGGAAGAACTTAAAATGTTGGTTTTGTTGTTGGTGGTTGTTGAAGGGAGATGGGGAGGGCTCTGGCGAGGAGAGGGGGGTACAGGCGTATCCATGCTCCTCAGCTGCTTCAACGTTCATCACATTAGGCATCATTAATAATAATTACATTAATTACAACATTACAACAACATTACTTGCAACAATACTTACAACATTACATACAGCATTGCTTACAATATCACTTACAATATTAATTACAATATCATTGCGATGGTCGCAACATTAATTTGACAACATCACATGACGATAACATTAATACAAGTTACAACAGATATAATGTTACGATTGAAATAATTTAAATACTACCGATAACCTCGTAATAATATTTATTAACCACCACAATGACATATTTTTTAGTAACAATGACGATCCCAATAAACATTCAATCGACAATTTCATTGAAAATGGAAACCGGGCAAGTTACAACATAAGTCTTTAACGATATAAGATACAATATAGGTATCTTACGATACGGTACATTACAATATAAGTATCATACGGTACGGTACATTACAATATAAGTATCATACGATACGGTACATTACAATATAAGTATCATACGATACGATATAAGTATCTTACGATACGGTACGATACAATATAAATATTCTACGATACGATACGGTATAAGTCTCTTACGATACGATGCGATGCAATATAAGTCTCGGACAAGTAAATAGAATGGCTAGTATCTCTTACAATACAAATTACAAGGAGATACAACAGCAAGCAATACCATATAGCAGCATGAGCAACATGTTAGGCTTAATTAGCACTCTTGCAGATAAAAATAAATGAATATCAACTGTAAGGAAGGGCATATACAACGAAATTACTCACAATGAAGAAAATATTTGGCAGATGGTGACGCGTTTTAAATGTGATAAAATAGATAAACTACATTTTGGTAAAAGATTAAAATATTTTCATTGTGTTATATTCAAAATTATTAAAAACATATTTTTATTATCCAACTAACCTCGTCGATCCAGGTACTCAGCGGCTTCCAAAATTAACTGAACGTTCTTCCTGAATAATTCTTTCATAATAAGATCAAATGATGGTTGGGTCTGTTGAATAGTTTAGTTCTAAATCAGTCGAATGATCGATTGCTTGACTGAGTTTTGTTGTTCAATCAGGGCGCGTGAAAATTTTTCCCTAGTGTAATTCTGCCTGCGGCTAGCTAGATGTATTTGATGTGGTCAAGCAAAAAATAGTTACGGACATGACAATGATGGTGGCTTTAGTTTATGAAGCAGTCAGTGGTCGGAGTCGTAATTGGTGGTCGGAGAAAATGTTGTCGCTGTAACGTTGTTGTTGTTTTAAATGTGGAAATTATGTGGAGTGGATTTAAAATGCAGTTTGTGGCAGATCAATTGATAATGAAAAATTACCCGTTTCTTTTTTCATGAAATGATCATTGTTTTAATTCTGAAAATGAAATATTAAATGGTTTATATTAACAAAAATATTGAAATTTTTTCATGGTTACATATTTAAACTGATTCAGAAGACATTAACTTTCATCTGAATTCAATTAATTCTTTACCTTACAAAACAGCATTGAGACTCACTTTTTCTGTCACTTTCCAAAATTATTTTTGCAAACTCACATGCATTAATTTTTAGAGATTCTCAAATTTACTTTCTTACAGTTAACCATTGTTCATAGGTTATATTCATATGGTTTTATGATTTCGTAGCCACTCTTCATAATTACGTTACTAAACAACTAAACATGATAAATGAGGTACATAAAATTATATTTTGTTTAGCCAAAAAAAACTGTTTTCTGTTTACAATGGAATAAATTGAGAAGAGAAAAAAAGAAAAAATTGCAGTATAATTTTTTTCTGAAAGTAAATATTTTTCTGAAACAGAAGTCACGTGATTCGTTCAAAAGCTACGAATACAAACCTATTCAAAGGAAATACTTAATTAGGAAAATTAGAAATAACAAAGTACAACTGATCTTAGATTTCCGATTTTTAGAAAGCAAAAGCCAAAAACATCAACGTGTGGCTTGCCTGCTTGCTTGTTTGTTTGTTCACGTGTTTTTCATTTTCTACTTATCAGCCTGGTGTTGAGATTGTGGATATCGTATTCTTGTTCGATCGTTTCTTTGCGCATGTTTTCGTTTCGTTTCGTTTGTTTGTTGCTAGTATTTGCGTTGCATCGGTGTAAACATGTTGTGCTATTTGTTTGCTTGCTTGTTCGCGTGTATGTTTGTTTCTATGGCGTGAACATCTTCATAATTGTTGCGCATAGTATTTATAAAAACTTAATTAAGGTACTTGTACGTGTGATAGTTACACACACACATGTTTAATATATTATAAATTCAATCTGTATCAAAAATATAGGCATAACCAACAAATAAGTACAACAGAAACAGACAGCAAAGTGCATCCACACACACAAACGCACACATAAACACACACATAAACGCACATACACAGAAGCCAAACTATCTTAACCTAAAAATCCATAGAATAGAAATATACTAATGTTTGTTGCTAGAGATGAGATATGCTGTGGTTAGATGTGAACGAGCAATTATCTTAAGTTATTTTCAAATGGAAAAACATCTATCATTACTCGCCATATACACATACATACATGAAAGCACAACAAAAACAGCCGTTGTAATTACACTGCACTATAATATTTATATAAATAATAATTTTCATTCATGTCATAATTGTTATTATGAATAATAATAATTATTGTTGTAATTTATTCCGGGTAGTATTTAGAGCAATGTTATTGAAGTTCGTTCTTCAGTGCAGTGCAGATATGCAAGGGGTCTCATTTAAAGATGAACCTAAAACGAGCCACAACAAGAGTGCAAGTAAACAACACTGCTATAAATCACATGGCATAGAAAATGATATATGAGTGTATAATATATACCTACATTATACAACTCTTACATATCAACATATATAATAAACAAAATATATATGAAACATTGTTTATTTTTATTTATTGAATATAATAAAATTAAAAAGGTTCATTTTCAGATTTAATACAAGCTGCTTTATACCTGTAACGTGTGTTAAAGCTAGTGTACATCATGTTTTTCAACTTAATCATCTCACAAAATGAATTCAGGATTACGTATTTAAGTAGAAAGAACTGCATGTCGATTCGGTGAATATTTAATTTAGTTCATTCAATGTTTCATGTACATTTGTTATCAGTGAATTCAAAAATATAAATTTAAAAAATATCATATCCTTTCATTTTACTAGAATAAAAATTGAGCTATCATTTTGATGAATTATTTCATCTTTTCCTACATAATAAAAAATCTTTCTACAAAATCTATTCATATGAAAATTCAATCCAAAGTTTGAAGAGAATCAAACAAAAAAACACGGTTTAGATTCGACGTATGACTAGACACAAAGGGAATTAAACGCAGGAACCTTAATAAATGTTATTGAAAAAATGTTTATTTCATCTGGAAACGATCAGAGTTTTCATAAGATTTTGAACGTATTGCAAGAGAAATAATGACAAATAGAATTGAATTAAAGTGAAACAACGTATACAAAATTATACAACATTGAAGAGCAGACGTAAGAATATCACATCCGTCCCCATCATGAAGGGATGCATGAGAACGCCTCTTGTTTGTTTACGCGCCACTTCCGGTTCATAAATGTTTAGGCATACCTAAGGCCCACACCTTTGTTTGAACTGTGCATACAGTCATACGCATACATACACACACACAAACACACATACACACACACAAACACACATACACACAGACATACATACACACAAACATACATAAGATATGTATATTAGGTACAAAAACGTTGAACTCAGACAAAGATTTGATGTCTATCCATACAGCTTACTCACGTTTATGCTCTTGTATTGTATTTAAATGAATTATAAAGGATATCAAGATTAATGTGTGAGATACGTGAGTCTGATGTGATGCTTAAACTTTTTCTTTGTTATATTAAGACACAAATAGTTGCAAGTTCTTTCCAAATCCCTCTTTCGCTCTCTTTATTTTCCTGCTGTGTGCGTGTGTGCTCATGTGCTGCGTTAGTTTAAACAATCTATGACTTTCATTAAGGTTAATTTGAAGATTTTAAGTGCTTTTTTTCTTATCTGATCAGCTGAAGTATTTATAAGTACTTCAATATATAGGAATATTTAAATATAACTGCGCTGTCTTACATCTTTCAATTAATAATTATTCAATTTTCTACGGGATTGTTTAAATTACACTTTTCTATTTCTGACGTAAGCATTTTGAGTACGCTCTTGCCCGATGTGGGCATTTCAAGAAGCTACAATGACATAATTAAGTGCTCGAAAAATAACAATAAAAACATATTTATTTAACCACAGCTAATGCAAAATGCTAACACCACACTAAACTGTGGTAGTTTTAGTAATATGCCAGATAAATACATGTTCTTTGCTTAATTGCATGCCTGTGTTATTCAGCTGCCTGATACATAACGCTGTTTTATATGAAATCTGTTTTATTTAACATTAATAAGGATTCGATCATACATACCGAACCACGACTTGGTCTAGATTCTTAAAAAAGTTGAAAAATAAAAATCTCTCTACTTAAAGGCATTTATTTATTTATTTGTATGTAAGAATTGCTCTATTAAAAGTTATTATATTATACATATCTCTGTGTTGTGTTTGCCTTTCATTTATTTTTTTGGTTTAAAAGTTTTATGAGATACATGTGGGGGGCACTGGACAGCCACAGCCACACACACACATACACACAAACACACACACATACACACAAACACACACACAATCAGACAAACATACACACAAACAATCACACAGACAAACACATACACGCATAAAGTTTTACACACGTTAATATTTATTATAAATATATATCACCGAGCCTTCAGTACGATCACCTAACAGTTGCATGTCATTAACACGTGAACTACAATAAGAATATAAGTAATAAGTAGCAATAATAATAATAACAACAACAATAATAATAATAATCAATACCATAACAATTTCATGATTATGGATTCATTGGTCATCACCTAACTGATCAAGGTTGATAAGGTCAGTGCTCCCTACAAGCGCAGAACGTTTTGACATTAAATATTGCAAAAAAACAACTCAAGATATATATTTAGATAGATAGATGGATAGATGGATAGGCAGATACATACAAATACATATGTATAAATATATAGATAGATATGTAGATACAAGGCTATGTAGATAGATAGATTGATAGATGGATGTATGGATAGATAGATGCAACTGTTACGATATATAACTGCTCTCTGTAAAAATGTTTGTATACATCGGGGATAATTTTTTATATTAAAAAATATACTAAGTGTAGCTTATAAACGTATTATAGGAATTATACAAAAGGTTACAATATTAAATACACAAATGACACAAGAGACAATAATTACCAAAATGACGTAATCTTGTAAAAAAAACTCTTGCACAAACATAAACACACAAACTTAAAAGAAACCACCACACACAAACTTAAAAACCACCACACACATACTCGCACACACACACACATACACAAATCTAAAAGAAACACCATCACTCATAAACACACAAACTAGCATGGTTTGCATGTGCGTGCGTGCGTGCACGAGAACATGTTTATGAGTAAGTCCACATAAGCAATTTTGCTTAAGTGTGCTTAGATTTACGATACATAACAAATGGGTATTAATATACTCGCGTCAGGCAGCATGTATTTGTGTATACATACACGTATGTGTTTGCCGGTGTGTATGTGTGTGTGTGTTTTTTGTATGTGTGTTAAGTCATGTGTTGGTTTTTCAGAGATCGAAATTCGATGAAATTCGCTATTTAACCAATTTTATAATTCACTGATTGAAGAAACATTTGAAACAATATTTAATTTAATCAATTTATTCACTGATTTTTTAGTTAGTTCGTGGTTTTTTCAAAATTTGTGTTTGCATTTCGTATGCCTGCCTGCATTTTACTGCTCAGTCCACGTCACATGTTCGCTGGTTAATAGGTCGGTGTTTTGTTAAAATATAATTAAATGCAAATAATTTCAACTAAATTAAAATTGAATAAACTGCTTGAAACATTAATCTTACAGCAATTCTGTTTTTATCTTTAAAATTTTTTCCACTTTGTAAACAAAAAAAAACTATTTGCTATCTACAAACTGATTGACAGACATCCACTGTGTTATAAATTATATTTTTTAAACATTCCGCAATCTTCCAATCACATTATTCAAAATTTATATTTTACTTTGAAAAATTAAATTTTCTTCGAAATAAAAAAATAAAATATTTCAAATTCAAAACTTGCAAATAAAAATGACAAAACGTGAAAAAACCAAATGCATACTAACAGCTCCCAACGGATTATTGTTCCACTCTTCAGCAAACAGAAAAAAAAATTAACTAAACTAAAACAAACGAGTGCTGTATGATGCGTATGTCGATGTAAGAAATCGTGTTCGTAATAAAGAAGCGATTGAGCGTGAGATTGTCTTTTATTTATGCAGTTCAATCCACATTAGTGCTAATGCATCAGTTCAGTTGCTCTATAGTTGGCTGGTTCGTGTGTTGTACTCTATACTATAGCAGTAAGCTCAAAATTACCGAGACGTGCTAGCATTCATGAGAGGATCTATTAAAAATTTTATGCTGATGTCAACAAATTATTATTATTTTATTATTATTTGTTTATCATTATTCGAAACCTCTAAACTTTTATTTAGAAATTGCACGAATTTAATTTGATAGTATGATAATTAATCTCCAGGCTGACTTGACGCAGATTGCAATTATTAACACGATAGGAATTACTATTTATTAATTTAGTTGTAAATAATTATCAACAGTTAAAGTCATTCATTTCAACCTTTTAAAAGGAATTTTGATACAACTAACAGATTGAATATCATTAACAAATGATACTAACATACAAATGATACTAACATACAAATGATACTAACATTTTTACTAACATACAAATGATACTTACATACAAATGATACTAACATACAAATGATACTAACATACAAATGATACTAAAATACAAATGATGCTAACATACAAATGATGATACAAATGATACTAACATTTTTA